AAAGCTTAGAGATGCTGAGATGAAAGATGACTTGAGTGCAAAGTAAAGATTAACTCCCCAAGCTCAGAAGCCACTGGAGCTGATGGGGATAAATGTACCACGTACCCACCACAGAAATCTTGAGTTTGAGTCTGTCTTAAATAATAAGTAGTTAAGCAGCAGTTCTCTTCAAAGAACTCATCTTTGGCTGGGAGCCCCACAGGCAGAATACACAGAAACGCAATATACCACCATGGAAAATAGATGCCTTTACAGAATAAAGCCCCACCTGTTTCTATAGAATTTGGTAGTGAGATTTCAACTCATTTCATAGGAATACAACAGAGCTGTATCAGGTTTATCAAACGCTGTGACAAGAACAGGGCAAAGCGGCATTTGAAAAGCCATTTCCATTTCTGTTTGTTTTTAAATGATTAAAAAATCCTGTTTAAATACTGCAAGGAAAAAAATGAAATTGAGCGAGATAAGTTCTGGCTTTCCTCCGAGTGGAAGGCAAACCCCAAAATGCTACTGCAGATCAAACAGATGGGAGCTTCTTCACCCTCCAGAAGTCTCATCCCCTCGCACTCAGATTAACTGTAAATAGCTCATTATTTACGCATAGGACAAAAGGTAAAATGAGAAAGAAAGGCAATTGCAACAATAGGCAGAAAAAGGCAAAAAAAAAGTTAAAATTCCTTCCAAAAAGAAAACATCATGTCTTCCTCAGCAAGCAACATAATTGTTATCAATATACTGCTAAATGGCTCCGCAGCATCCTGTCAGCTCTAAGGATAAACATTTGGGTCACAGCTTCGCAAGCTCTTACACAAACGTCGGCTGAGTAGGTGAGAATCATTCTCTGAACACCTGAAAATATCACAGGAGGAGACAGGATCAGGCCTAAGAGAGGCGAGGCATTCCATTATACTTGCATGCCAGTAATGCAAGGGATTAAGCAAAACCAGGAGGAAGAAGAAACAAAGAGAGGCAAGCAAACCACACACCAGCTTTCCTTGTTAGAGATGGGTATTAAAACTTCCCAAGTCATTTTTTTTTTAATTCTAACACCTCTGCTTACTCAAGCTGAAGAGACTCTTGGAGTGCTGGTGCAAGTGCATGGTTGTGCTGTTTTTCATATAAATGAGGAGTCTGAAAAGTACAAATGTTGCCCCAGAAGTAATGCCTCCCATTTATTTCAGTGGAAACTTCAACAGCTACAAAGAACGCTGTTAGATGGAGCACATGCTCAGCTACAAAACTGTTTTGCAACACAGTTACCACCACGAGCTGTGCATTTTTGCCAGCCCTGAACAAGAGCCTGCATGCTGCACTGGTAAAAGTCTGCTCCAGTGGAGGTGACCCACTGTGTCCCAGCTGCTATGTCAGCATCGTTGCTAGGAAAATGTTGCCCACTGGGTCAAACTTTCACTGGTTGGTCTCCATACACGTTCAGCAAGTGCTGATGAATGTCAATGAGTGCCATTTTTTCCACACGGGGAAATTCAATTGCACACCTTACCTTCATACATATTTCCACATCAGATGTTAAGGACAGATATAATTTTTCCCACTTCACTGGTATGAGAAGAAAGTGAAGCTCGGGCTCTCTCACACATCCCTTCTCTTTCTCTCACTCTCTCTCAGACTTCTATCTTTAGCCAGCTATCCATGCTGCAATTTTCTTAAAACTGTAATTGGACAATCTTGCAGGCTCCAGGGAAACCCTTTGTCAAGAGGAATTCCTGGGGAGATAGCCCCTATTTGATGAAATTGAGAGCTGCTGAATTAACAAGGGGCTGACTACAGATGTGATTCTTTGCTCATAGTAGAAATCTTATTTTACCAGCAACTATTTTTAAGGAACCCTATAATGAGTTGGACTCCTCAGTGATCTTTATGGATCCCTTCCAAGTTGGGATATTTCTTTCTATGATTCTACGAAATACATATGCTTGTACACTGGCATCCCAAAACGATGGCTGAGAAACGTGAGATGAGCCTTCTGCTTTGCAAATGCATCAGAGAGGGAGGGGGGGAGGAGAAATCCTGAAATACCTCCCAAACAACAAGTAGTTCTGTTCAAGCTTTGCAGTGACCCAATCTCAGCCATCCGTTCTGCTGACGGCAGAGCAGAACACAGCATCACAAACTGCAGAAAGAAGGAAACCCCCACCCACAGGGCTTGAGCCAAATCAGTTCGAGTGTAGAAAACAGCTCTAAGCTCTGCTTCCTTCCTATCCTGCAGCTGGAGGAGCACCAGACCTCACCTACTGGGTACAGAGTGGTGCTCCTGGGTACACCAACCATCCAGGGGCTGTAGTGTGAGGAAGGAGGAGAGCAATATCTGAACTGCGAGCTCCGCTGCAGAAAGTGTTTCAGTTTCAAGATAACACAGTGCTGCTCACAGATTTCAGCTTACATTGGCTTTTCCATACCTCTATTTTTATTCCCAAAGCATTCCCCGTTGCTGTATGATGAAAAGAAAGATGGGACAGACAGCAAGGATGCTGTGAGCGGTCTGAATGCACTCACATGGTGGCTACGATCTTCTGCCTACCTTGTGATGCAGGAGAGCCAAGCTGGGCACCCCTCAGCCATGCTGCCAGCTGCAGCAACCATCTCTGTCTCAAGTTTTAGCAAGTCAGAGTCCTGCTGTATAGGGAGGACATTCAACAACAATGGGGAACCCGAGACAGATGGGAGAAGACATATGAGACGAGTGCCTGCCAAAATAGCCAACATAAAATCCAAACAAAATAAGCGAGAGGAAGGAATAAAAGAACATGGTCTTGTCTCTTGTTCTGAAGGAGCAAAATGCTTCATCCCTGTTGCTGGCATCTGGCACATGCTGGCTCTGAAGGCACAGGGCTGGGAAAAACTCCCTCTGCCTCCTACTTCCTACACAAAGATTTCAGAGCACACTACAGCACTATGGAGGCATTCTCCATCACTCCACATTTCTAGAATCCATCCACCTCCTAAGCCTCTCTTAATTACACATTCCTTCAGGCACTTCAGAGCAGGTTGACCTGACCCAAGGCACTGCTCCAGCCCAGCCCTGCTCAGGGCTCATCCCCATTGCACACTGGGCAGTGCTCACATGCAGGGCACCTGCACTGAGATTTGCAAGGAGGGAGCCCAGAGGTGTTCAGACACAATCTTTCCTGCACAGACTCTTGAAGGGATTAGGTATGACAGACCTGAGTAAGCACTGCTCTCCCCACTCGAGATGCAGACACTTGAAGTACAAGCTACATCCAATAACACTGAAAGAAATTCACAGGGCTGCATGCACAGACACCTGCTCTCTGCTTGCATAGTGGCACTGTCAGCAACATAACCTGCTCTACCTTCATGCAACAGCTCCCACATTCACACTTCATGCTTCCATCACCTCAAGTCCTCACGGCCCCATTCTCCAAACCCATCATTATCCTGCACCCTATCACCTTTCAGAAACAGAGCGAAGCCTCTTATGGGGAACGAGCTGCGAGCAGCAGGAACAACTCCACATCTGCTTCCAGCTGAGCAGAACATCTGGCTCTCAATCTTACCCTGAGTTCCCCCTCCCAGCGTACCAGACAACGGGAGCAGAAATCAGGGCACATCCCAGCACCAAAGTCTTTGGGCTGCAGTGATGCTCTCCCCATGCAAGCAGGAGAAGTGTCTCCTGCACAGAACACAATTTAGCACGTAAATCTTCTGGAGCTGCCAAAAGCAACCTGTAATAAATTGCCCTCTACGTTGTGAGATATGGACTCTCCACAGCACGGTTAATAAATAATACTCTGATCTCTGTGTATGGAATTGTAAGTTCAGTGACAGTTCTGCTTATCCAAGAGAGGACACAGTTAAAAGATGGACTGCCAGGAAAAAAAAAGAAGAAGAAAAAAAGTAGTTTTAAACGATATAGCAAATATTAAATAATAATAATAATAATAATAATAATGAGGTTGCTGCAATCTTCCAAATCGAGAAATAAAAAGCCTTTCCTATGACAACAAAACTAAATGCACTTAATAAGAAGATCCACAAAAGAAAGCAGGGCATTTTTTTTTCATCTGTGCATTCTAACCAGCTATTCACAAAGCAGAGAACGAGACAGAACGATGCCTGTGAGCCCGCATTTATTATCTGGTTTTCAGCATAAGGCCCTGTGCTCAGGATCCTGTGGTGCTGAGCACTGCACACAGCCCAAGCAATGAGCCCAGCAACGTACCGAGAGACGTGGCAGCGACACAGCACAGCGCTGGAGCCCTCATGGATCCTTCCTGAGCCGTTTCCACAGCCTCGCAGAACGCCTCGCTCAGGGCACAGCTGACCGCAAGCACACGTGCTGCCGGCACTCTCACACTGCTCTCCTGGACGCGTCTCTTCCACTTTATTTCCCCCGCTACGGCTTCAATCCGTGCCCTTTCCTCTCCCCTCTCGCATTCTAGCATCAGGCTCACGCATTTGAAATGCAGACGAAAATTAAAGTTGCACCCATCAGCGCGTGTAGCGGTCGGAATGCCCAAATCTCCCCGGTCCAAAGGCAGCACGGCTCCGGGCAGCGGCCGCAGCAGCAGCAGCCGCCGGGGCACCGCGGTTCTCCCGCAGCTTCAGCTCCGGCCGCGCTCAGCCGGGGGCATCGCGGGGTCCCGGGGTGTGCAGTGCACACCGAGACCCCCTCCCCTCTCCTCCCCTTCCGCAGCTCTCACCGCACGAGGACGGCTCTCAGCGAAGCGGCACCTCGGCTTCCCCGGCGCCTTACCCGCCGCAGCTGAATATTTCCGCTTTTTTTTTTTTTTTTTTTCTTATCCTTTTTTATTTTCATATTTTGTTATTTCCCCGCTAAACTGGCAGCGGATGGCGAGCAACGACCGCGATCTCGTGCCCAACGCCGTGCAGCGACAGCCGCCTCCTCCGCCCCAAAACTTTCCCTTCGAGTGGGGCAAGTTCACGGTTGGGTCGAGCCGGACCGGTCCACTCTTCCCCACCCGCTGTTCCCCCAACGCGAGCGTCTCACCGCGTCTCACCTGGGCACGCGGAGGGCTCGCACCGCCACGTCCCGCGCGTCTCGCTCTCTCCTTAGTCCTCCCCGCGGCCCCCGGCCGCACAGCCCGGCTCCGCCCCGTCCCTCTCGCCGCTCGCGGGGTCCCGCTGCCGGGAGGAGGAGGCGGGGGACGCGGTCGCGCTTTGGGCATGGCTCCCTCTCCTGGCCCGAGCTGCTCGCAGTTCCGCGCAGCGGGAGGCAGAGCGGGGCCGGACACGGTGAGGATAAGGGGCTGCCGTGGGGTGATGTGCAGCCCCGCGCTGACACGCGGCACGTTTTGCTGGACGGTAATCGCAGAATCGCGGGACATCCCGAGCTGTAAGGGATTCACGCAGACCATCGAGTCCAACCGCAGGCTCCACGCAGCTCCATCCAAAATCCAAGTCCTTGATCTGAGAGCATTGTCCAGATGAACGCTGGCAGCTCGGGGCTGTGTCACTGCCCTGTGCTGCCTGTTCCGTGCCCACCGCCCTCTGGTGCAGAACCTTTCCTTAACATCCCCCAGCCTTCCCCTCGCTCAGCTCCATGCCATTCCCTCCAGCCCAGTTGTTGTCACTGTCACCAGCCTGCAGGGTCCCTGTGAGGAGTTGTAGGCTGCCATGATGTCACCCCTCAGTCTGCGCTTCTCTGGGCAAGACAAACCAAGGGACCTCAACCACTCAACACAGACCTTTCCCTCCAGACCATTTTCCAAAGTCACAGCCTTCCTTTGGGTGTTCTCTAATAGTTTTTTGTCCTCCTTACATTGCAGTGCCCAACACTGCACCCAGTGCTCAAGGCAAGGCTGCATAATGCAGAGCAGAGCAGCTGGTGATGCTGGGCTAGGTGCTTGGCCTGGAAAATGCGGAACAAAGTATTTCTCACAAGGTGTTTTAGGGGTAGATAATTTCTATCATTAACCTCTAAAGCAGCATCAGCCTTCTGTTCCAGAAGGTATTTGGGTGTGCATTCATTGTCATGTCTTTCAGTGGTAGTGCAGGGAGGAGAGCTCTCCTTCCTCTCTGGCTCTCCAGGACACTCTCCCATCCTGCCAGGGGGTGACCTGGCTGTGTTCATGCTTCTGTCACCTCTTGGCAGCCTGACAGTAGAGCAGTATGTCTGGACACAAAGCCTTTGGTGCTGAGGAAACTTCAGTCCCTTCAAAAAGCTGCAGCACTTTTAGCACTCTTGACTATAGTGTTGCTTCCAGGTTAGACTGAATTCAGGACTTCAGTCATTATCCCCAGGATGTGGCTCCAGAATATCCAGAAGACCACATTTCATTTTACCTACAGAAGCTTTCCTGCAGCATCCTGTGCTGGGAAGCAGGGTTTGACCACCTCTTGCAGCCTGGCAAGATATCCCTGTGTTCCCCTTGAGGCCAAAGGGGGATCACTGCATGCACTGCCTCTGTGAAAGGGGGGACTGATCCTCAGCCCACCCCACTCATCACCCTAATTTTCCACACCAAGGATCCCATATGAAGGAGTTGCAAGGTGAGGCAGGAGCGGTTCTTCCTCCTGCACCTTTCTACCCTTTGCTTTCCAGGGCTCTGGCACAGCAAGATTAGGCGGAACGTTTCTTGTCTCAGCAGCTTGCTTGTCCCAGTGGTGAACGCCCTTGAACAACTTCCTACTTGGCTTTTGCTTAGAGTCAGCTCTACTCAAGCCATCTCTCACCTAAAGCCATCCCAAGATCACAAGGCAGAACTCTGTGCAGACTGATGTACCCCACTTTCAGCAGATTAGCCCATATTTTTCTCCATGCTACATGCACAGCTCCAGGATCCACACTATCCTCTCCACAGCTGCTTTAGGTATCCATACACTCAGCTGCATTACTGAATTTAGACAAAACTGGAATAGCCAGGCACATTTTTTGAGCTGCATTTTCCAGCATTCTTCCAGAGAAATACGTGCCTAAAATCTTTTGTTGAAACAAGACAGTCCACTTTTCTCACAGAAGATGAAATAACAAAAGGATTGCATATTTTAGTCGTGATTTTTAATGCAGCTGTGGGAGTAACTCAGCTGCTCTGGTGATTGCTGGAAGAATTAAATAATAATAATAATGCTACCTTCTTCAGTGCAATATCTTCCATCCATAGATACAGATCTGGGATAGGACATGTTATTATTCTCATTTGAGAAGATCCAAACACTGTTGCAATACTAGTAATGCAGGTTAGCAGCCACTTGCACTACACCCTAAGAAATTCACACCACTCCAAAATGCCTAGCTCCATCAGTGCAAATAGGGCTTTTACCTCAATGTCATCAATTTCCCTGGATGCTGATGAAAGCTAGAATTCAACATTAGATACCCTTGAACAGATCATGAGTTCAAAGCCAAATTTCCAGATATTATTTTAAGGCTACATCTGATAGCAAAGCCCCAAATCACACCTGCTTATTGTGTTTTCATAAGAAATGATTCAGACTCTTATTCCATATAGATTTTAAATAAATAAATAAATAAGCAATTCTCTACTGTAGAATGAAGGTAATATTGCTCACTTGGGCTCAGTGCTGTCATAAGGATTATTTTTGTATTGCTGTTTTTCTCCCAGCATTTCTCTATGTTTGTGCATGCTATTTCTGTGCAGGTTAAAATGCAACACAGTTACACCCCAGAGTGAATTATACTACAGTTTGAAGAGCAATTCAGTAAATAGAAAACATTTTTGAGCACAAAAATAAAGCAGCACTGTGCTACAATTTTGGGGCAGGGAGCAAAGAGTAGCATTACTAGGTGAAACCACAGCAGGGGGCTTAAATAGCAGAGGAATGTGTTGGGTTGAGCCAAGACACTGAAACTGCTGGCATTGCAACTGCGGGGAAAATATTCCACAGAGCTTCAGTGACAAGTGGCCAAAATTGGCCATGGTTTGCTGCTGCTCTGCTATTCCTGTTAGCAAATTTAGAGCTAGAAATACACAAGGAGCCTGGATCATGCAGCCCATTTCTCTGTCACATCAGGCACAACGGTATGCGGTCCCTTTGTGAAAAGCACCACGCTCCAAATTAAAAACAGGTTGTATTTTCTGCCTGTTGCTCCTCCTGTCCGTGTCCCTGGTGGTCAGAAGCCTTCTCATCGTTTCCATCACTAGTTTGTTCCCTCGTTTTCTGGCACAAGCACTGGCTCCCATTTCAGAAGCTGTTCCGCTTACGGCTCCTCACTCCAGGATTTTTATAGATACCATTCTTGGCTCCTTTTTCTCCGAGCTCCTCAGGACTGGTTTTTCAATCTTCTTTCCTAAATGACTCTCCATTCACCTTGGACCTGTTTTCTGAATCTGCTCTGGTTTAAATTAATCTTGAAGCGCATATGGATGACCTCAAGCAGTTACAGCATTAAGCGGGAGGAGGTCTCACTGATGCCTTTATACAATGACATTGAATTCCCCATTTCCCACTGAAATTTCCCACCTGTTAATCCTAAGATTGCATTTATCTTTCCCTAACTAAACTGTAGTAGTGGCCTCTTATTTCTCCTCCATTCGTGCTTCCAGCGATAAGTTCCCCAGCTAGACCAGAAACTTGTTACTATTCTCCTGTCAGCTCCCAGTTCTCTCGTGTTTGCCCCAACTCCCAGCCTGCATAAAGCTTTCTGATTCGTTTGTTCTTAGCCAGCATTTCTGATACTGGGAGACCAAGGCAGTTTCATAACCTCTAAAAGACGTGTTCGCGCTTGCTACTTTACTCACACCCACCTAACCCATTTTTCCTCCTTCCCAGTTCAGGAAACAAGCCCTAGACTACATATAATTATAGTCTGTGTAGTTATAAATGAACGTGCCTTCTGTGTTTTACACCTACATTTTAAATGGCGTTGAGAAGAGCACGCCTGATAACCTGAGATACAGGACATAGAAGAACCAGAGAATGACAGACACTGCTAGCATAGCAGCACATGGGCTGCCCATCTGCTTCTGTCAAGGAAGCGGAGGTTACCCGCACACACGTGTAAGGGATGCATATATTCTGCTGGGAGCATTTTCCAATGAGGAGCCTGTGCTGGTCATGCGGGCACACGTGGCTTTCAGACAGGTGAATGCTTCTCCTTTACTGAAATGCAACTGTTTTAGAGTCAGATCACCTTCACTAACACATCCCATGCGTTATTTGCCATGTTGACCGCATCCAAACCAGATCTCAAAGTGCCTTGCTTCCCAATGAAGCACATTGCGTGAGCCTCTGCAACAGCCCCGCAGAGTGAGGAGGGGTTGGAAGCGCGGCTTCGTTGTGAGTTCATCTCCATTTATTCCTGGGGATGTAGCAAATAGCTGTTGTCCATGCTCATGTGCTAAATGTCGTTAGCGTCTCTTCCTCCATGTTACCACGGTGGGAGCACTGCTAACGCAAACAGTTCACAAAAGGAAACTTGACCTTACATGACTTGCACCTAAGTCCATTCAAATTTCTGTCACAAATGTTTTGATACTGCCTAAGGCCAGAGAGATTTTCCACTCCTGTGAGCCTGTGTTTCATACAAACTAAAACGCTTCAAATCAGCAATGGAGATTATCTCCTCATCCTGCCAAAGGTTTCAACGTGTTTGGCAGGTATCTGACCCACGCCTACACAGCAGGATACAGTTTGGGTTTAGGATGCATGAACATCCGTTCACACAGCACATTCAAACACCCCCAGTTGGTATCAATTGTCTGGCCATGGCATTTGTAGGGACCCTTCAGTGAGGTTGATGGGTGTTTCACAGAGCAAGAGCAGCATCTGCCTCAATCAGTCTTTGAAGAAAGTGCCTAGCCCTGCCATTAATTAGCTGCAGCTCACCTTGCTTGCTCACAGGTACCAGCAGGAAGCAACAGGCTGTCAGCAGATTAATAAAGCCAGATAGTCTGAGTACAGCCTTGGCTGTCTGGACAGTTTCCTATCACTGGATATTCCTACAGAGTGGTCTCTGGAGTTGTTTCCAGACACCAAGCTCCTCTGTCTGATGGCTCACTGACAGTGCTGCTCTTGACCAACACAAAGGGAAAAGGCACTGAAGTAATGCAATGTTTTCCCTGAGTCAGCTTCAGAGAACATACAAAAGAAGGAAAAGCCTTCAGACATCACATTTTCGTTGCAAAACCTCTCCCTGTTTTCACATATGCTTATATAGGTGTTTTGATGTTCTATTAGTTCTTTCAATAATCTTTTTTTTTTTTTTCTCTGAATAAAACCCAGCTTTTCTGAGTAGCTTTCCCATAATAACTGCAATGCTTATGGAAAAAAAAAAAAAAGAGAACAACATGTGGGGAATGAAAAAAATCCATTAGCACATTCCAAAAGCATATGATTATAATCAATAACAGCTTATTTTTTTCCT